TTTTTTGTTTGTTTTTGTCATTTGGTTTTTTTGAACAGGTTTTCACATAGGGCAAGCTGGTTTTCAACTGTGAAGTTGACTTTGAGTTCATCTTTTTCTCTTTACCTTCTGAGTGCCTGGTGTATAGGCTTGTGCCATCTTGTCTGGCCCAAGGAATGCCACCATTGACAGCACTGCTCTCTGTTCATTCACAGCTGAACAGCAAGGGCATGCTACCATTATGTATGGAACATGAAGGTAAGAAGTGACTTTTCAGACTCAGAGTTTATAGGTCTAAAACACTCTTTTAAATTTAGAACTCTGCTTCTTGCCTCAGCATTTAAATGAGCTCTGAAATCTCAATACCAGAAAAGGAAAAAGAGAAAGAGTTAAACTACTTTCTCACTTTTTCTCTTTATCTTGCCAAATAATACCTGCTTGCTATCCAGATATGTTAGTTTCCGTAAAGAAAAGCAAAACAAACAAACAAACAAACAAACAAAACTATGTGTTTAAAGATGCATGGCCATACTTCCTATTTTGTAAATAGGGCACCTATGTCTTACTGTTATTGAAACACCACGATGAGCCTCCTTAGCACCTCTGTTCTTTTTTTCTTTTTATTTATTGTATTTGTCTTTTACATCATGTATCTTGAACCCATTCATTTCCCCATCTCTTTGCATCTTCCCTTCGCCCCTACACACAAATAAAACAAAAGTGAAGAGAAAAAAAATTTAAAAATGGAAAAAAATATATAAAACCTCATCATGGAAGCTGCAGAGTGACAGTGAGTCATGCTGTAAACTCCTCTGTTCATACATCTTTATTTGCAAGTGTTCATTGCAAGAGTCATTGGTCTGGTTTGAAGCCTCTGGTTTCTACTTACACTCTCTATGCTGGGCCCTCACTGGGACTCTTCCTGGATATCCTGTTTTTGCCCTGTGTTGTGGAGATCCTGTAGCTTTGGGTCTGTGGGTCAGGTCACTTCACATGCTCCAGCAGATCATAGATGGGGTGGATGTTGGGGTGGGCCAAGTTATAACCCTGGATCTGGTCATGGGCAGCTGTAGCGTTGGTCCACCAGCCAGGTCTCACCTGTCCTCACCACCAGGGTGAGCTCTCCAGCATTGCCCCAGCTAATTCACCTCTTGCAGCAATGAGTGAGGGGTAGGGCCAGTTCTCCTGCTTTCATGCCCTCAGGATTGGCTCTCCCACTCCAGCTCTATTATGTTGCCCATACAAGGTACAGGGGCCATTCTACCGAGTGCTGCAGCTGTCGAGGGGTAGGGACAGCCCTCCTGTTCTTACGACCCCAGGGCCAGCTCCTCCACCCGTCTCAGGCACTGATGGTCTGCAGGTGGTGGGGAGGGCATCTCTCCTCTGCTCATGCTACCACATGTCAGGTGAGTAATGGGGGCAGCTCTCCTTTGTTCATAACATTAGGGCTGGGTCACCCTCACCTCCAACCACTGAGCAGCTCTATTGTACTGCCTAGGGGAGAGGCAGGGCCCATTTCCTGAATGCTGTAGCTAGTTCATCAACTCTCCCCCACCCATGCCACCCTAAAGTAGATGGGTAATGGGGACAGCTCTCCCATCCTCGCAATTTCGGGGCTTGCTCACCCACACTTGTGCTAACAGGGTTGGCTCTATTGTGCTGTCCTGGTGAGAGAGCACCTCTGTTCTTACGGTGAAGACAGGAAAATTAGCCATGAATAACAAACAGATGTAATAAATACTGCAAAAGCACTTGTAGATGTGATGAATTTTAACACAGAAAAAATTTCCATATGAATAGATATATCTTAAAAGAATCAGAACGCAGATAATAATAAAAATCACAGTAAAATCAATTTGTTTATGGATAAAGACATTATTCAGAGTACTGTGTTGTCTAAAAATCATTTTGTTAGAAATGTACTAATTAGGGGAAGAAGAGTAAAAATAAAACTTTAAGTTTCACCTGAAAAGGCAAAGTCTTCCCATTCTCTTCTTTGTAAAAATGCTAATTTTCTACTACAAGTTTACATATAATCATACATCGTTCTTTTTCTGAACCAGCATCTCATAATCTCATGTCATAAAATTATGGGTTACATGACACATTATATTCTTTTTTCAAGAAAAGGCATAAAGATAAAAAGGTCTTTAGCCAAAAGGATAACTTTCACATAGGACATGTGAATAGTGCTGACTGAGCCTTTTCTTTTATGGGCCTTTGCTTGTGGAATGTTCAAAACAAAGCTTGTGAAGTGAAATGTCTTGACATCTGCTATGATCTTTGACAAACTGTGCTGCTGGCCTTTGAATTTCTGCACTCCTGGGTCATTGTTTGTTACAGGATTATTATATTTGTGGCACTTTGCTATCTGAAACAGCTGTGTGATTTTGCTGTCACCAAAAATGTTAGTGGACACTGAGCTATTTCACTTTGATTATCTGTCTATCCCCCTATGATATCAGAATATCATTATGGATCTGAAAAAAAATAATTACCCCCATACTTTTCTTAGCAACAGAGGGCTCCTGTCATGTAATCAACTTCACACATTACTAATAATTAGGATATTTAGAGTTCATCAGAAGAAATGAAAACATGACATAAGACCTAGTTCTGCATTTTCACTCTCTAATATATAAACTATTTATAGGCTATTCACTATAGATATTTTCTAAATCAGTTTCAGTTTATCTATAAATATATTACCTTAATTTTATAATAAGAGTTTTCTTACAACACAAGATAAATAAGATAATTGTCAGAGGAAACATCTGTGAGTTACAAAGTACTGCAAATACTTATTGATATAAAAATAACTACAAATTCTTGAGTCCTAAATTATAAGTCCTAATTAAATACTTCATAAAGAGTAAAAGCAATTTCAATACTACACACAGTAAACACTATAAACACTGATTATAGTCAAATAAGAAATTAAATATACATGTCTTTTCTTTACCTGCCCTCCCATTTTATTGTGATGAGGTCTCAGGAATTACAGGCTTGTGTCAGAATAGCTATATATTCAAGGTTAGTCCTGAATACTTGGTCTCATAGCCTTCATTTCCCAAGTGCTAGAAGTGTCAACATGTACCAACTGCTCATGCAATGCTAGGGACTAAATCCAGGGCTTTGTATTTGCTAGGTCAGCACTCTAACAACTGAACTACAGAGTCCCTGTTCCTCCTTTTAAAGATTTAAACTTTATGATCTTTCATGTCCCATTAATAAAAGTTTCATATACTTGCAAAATATTGATTTGTCTTTATTAAAGAATAGTAAAATAAATTAACTTCAATTTAAATTTCTCACACAAGTCTGGTCTCATCTTTGCAATTGTGTCCTGTTGTATGCTATACTGAGTTATGTTTGTGAGAATGTTTACCAAATGCAGTAAAAATTTCATTATACAGCACCAAAAAAGAAAAATATAAGCACACATAGTAACATTCTCTTTTTTCCACTAAAAGTATCGGCAATTAACAAATATAATCAAGCAAACCTAAGCAAAGCTTAAAGAAAAAAGGATGGTGTCTCTTTGACATTTATAAGAATGCTTTCAATGTGGTTACTACCTGCAGTCAAAAAGCAGCTCTCACAAGCTTCCTGTGTTTGTAAAAACAACATTATGTGAAGCACTTCCGTTTTTCAATCTCCAGACTGGAAATATGCCCATCTTTGCAGACTACATTACTATATCACAGTATGCTAACCACATCCTCCTGAGGCTGGAAGTACAGGACGCATTAATTCTACTTCAGAGATGAAAAAAAGCCCGTTTAGGGAATCTTTGAGATTTAACTGAAGTAGTGGCATTGGAACTTGAATTCTGGCCTTTAAACTCTGGATCCATATGTTTTTTAGCATAGTATTCCACACAGCATCTTTCCTCAATGCCCTTTATAGCATGTTGCTTTTTTTGGGGGGGGGAGGTGTGTGTGTGTGTGTGTGTGTGTGTGTGTGTGTGTGTGTGTGTGTGAATGGTTCAAGACAGAGTTTCCTTTGCTGTCCTGAAACACACTTTGTACACCACACTAGCCTCAAAATTGGAGATCCACCTTCCTGGCTTTGCCTCCCAGGTGCTGGGATTAAAGGCATGTGCCACCATCACCCGGTTTAGCATGTTGTTTATATTATTTATATGGACTAGAATTATTGATGAAGTCATTGTTATGGATGGTCCATATTAGTAATGAAATGAACCTAAATTTCTCTATTGTCTACTGTCCATAATAACTTCATGTAAAAGCAAAAATAAGCACAAAGAATTCATGCAATGGTTCTTAGTGCTGACTTTTTCACTTTAAAAGAAACTAAAAACACTGGCTGCATAAAAGGAACTTTTTTGTTTGTGTTATTATTTTCTTTAAAAAATATTTAGTAATTTATTTTTGTGTATGTGTGCCCAAATGAGTTTGTGTGTTCAACATGCACACACATGCCTACAGAGGCCACAGGTATTGAAACACCTGAAATTGGTGTTACAGTCAATTGTGAGTTGCCTGGTGTTGGTACAGGCAAACAAAACTAGATCCTGGAAGGAGCAATAAGTAAATTAAGAGCTCTTAATTACTGATCCAGCCCATTTGTGTTACTATATACAAAACTTAGATACCATCAAAGCATATGGGTAACTCTGGCAAGAGTTATAAAGAAGTTGGAATTTGGGAAAATTTATACAATATCAAATTTGAACTATTTCTACCTGTACTGCCAGACACACACACACACACACACACACACACACACACACACACACACACACACACACACACTACTATCACCACCACCACCACCACCAAAAACAAATATCAGAAGAAATAAAAGAACCAGTGAGTAACACAAAGTATGTTGATCTATTTCTGCATAGTGTTGGATTACATCAAATTTTCTATCACCAAAAAAAAAAAAAAACACAACATAAGTATCTACAAACATATTTCTAGTCTCAATTTCCCTGGAACACTAGATTACTATTAGGAGAATCTAAATCGTTTCAAAAGAGAAGAGAAACTTACCCCTCCCCATTTTTTTTTCTTGTGGCTTCTGGCAGGTCCTGGATGATGATTCTCTGCACAAAACAGAGCACATACACAGTCAGATTCACAGAGGCTGAGTCACTACATCAGATAAGCTCCATTACAGCTGATGTAGTCAGTGTGAGCATTTCATTTCAATGCATTCTAATCTTGCTTCCTGACAAAACTCTTTTCTCGACCACAGATACCCAACTTCAGAGAACAGAAACAGTATTTTGGAAAGCATAGGCTGTCTATATCAACTTAACTATGACCTTCTTTATCTGGTATTAGTTTTTGCCCTTGCCAAATAAAACTCATCAAATTGACTACATTCTTATCTTTTAGGACAGCCTTATCAACAAAAGATGACAGGCAAAAATGCCAAAGGCTGGATGTTAATAACCAGGCTAGCATATTATTAGCTTGCCTGTCTCTGCCTTCCCTTCATTGGCATTAGGTGACAAGTACAATACCCTTTACCGTGTAACATTTTCCTGAATGGTGTCAAACAGCAGTGCCCCTAATCAAATTATCCTTGAGGCAAAGCAGCCCACAATTATTTCCAATAAACATCATGAATCAAGGACCATGGATTCCCGACAACAAAAGCATAAGAGAAACAAAGGAAATATACAAATTTCAATTGTGGTGAGAGAAAGGTACATATGGCAAAACAGAAATTCTGTTTTATAGATGAAAAACATAACATACACAGAAGCCAATGTATATAATTAATGCTTCAATTTCTTACAGGTATAAACCATGAAGCTACTAGTTACCAGTAACTTGTCAAGCTCTCAATGTGTAGTTAAGCAGCTGAGTGCAGTGTGTGTGTGTGTGTGTGTGTGTGTGTGTGTGTGTGTGTGTGTGTGTGTGTGTAGTGAAAAGATATGATCTATCAGCCCATTAAGAAACTTACTTGAAGTTCAGTAGGGGAAATCAAGAATAAATACTAGACTGAAACTTGATAACTATTTGTACGGCACCAGATAAACCATTTTCTATTTCAAATTCTCCACAAAGTATACTCTGTATACTCTGTAGGGTGTTAAAAATATGTGATTCAAAAGCAAAGGCTCTCTATTAAAATAAATCTATAAAATGCTGACATAAGCCTATCACATTTGTCACCAAACTTTTCAGATACTTAAAATAATAGTGATGGGCTAGAGAGAGAGCTCAATGGTTAGGAACACTTGTTGCTCTTACAGAGGCCCTGCATTCAGTACTCTGAACCCACATGGTGGTTCACTACTATCTTTAACTCTTGTTTCTGGAGATCAGACTCTCTCTTCTGACTTTCACAGGTACATGGAACATATACACTCATGCACATAAGATAAAACAACCTAAAATTTTAAAAACAGGTATTGAGAAATGTAGCAAAACTATAACAACTTATTTGGCATTTTACTATGAGCAAAATTTCTCTGCATTTGATTCTTTAGAGCATTTTGTATCATTTCATCTTTTGAAATCAGTTGAAGTTCCTCAAAAAACTTTATACAGGGAAGGGTCAGGTCTTATGAGCTCCTCACAAAAACACCAAAGAAAGCAGAAAGAAATGAATGAATGAGCCGTGCGGTGATGGCGCATGCCTTTAATCCCAGCACTCAGGAGGCAAAGCCAGATGGATCTCTACGAGTTCGAGGCCAGCCTGGGCTACTAAGTGAGTTCCAGGAAAGACACAAAGCTGCACAGAGAAACCCTGTCTTGAAAAACCAAGAAAATAAAATAAATGAATGAATAATGAGTAATCGAGAAGAAGGGGATTGGGGAAGTGGGAGGGGAACAAAAGAGGGTAATAGAGGGTAAATATGACTAAAATGCATTATATACATATATGAAATTATAATAAAATCCACTATTATATAATTAATATGTACCAATAAAAAGGTTATCTTAAACTTTTATGAAAAATACTGGTTAATAAATAGGTTGACTCTTCAAGCTAAATTAAGGTACAGAATTACCCTAGTCCCACTCACTGGGATTTCTCCTTGAAGTCATCTGTATATACTGTCACCAGAAACCAAGAGTCTAAAGTCCCAGTTGCCTCCTGATCTTTCAAGTGAAATTATTCTGGGACAGCATGAGAAAAAAGCCCATACAGCAAAGGGTAATCCATCCATGTACAAATGATGACTTGAAAGAGTTAAGTGGGGTAATGGTGGTGTGCTGCAGCTTGGATTTTAAGAGGGTAGCACTGGCAAATATGGGGAAAGGAGAATTAAGGAGTGAAGATAGCTTGACTGGAGCCAGTGATATCAAAGATGCTAAAGAAATCTGGCAGGGCTTGATTTTATTTTTTTTAATTTCTTGTTTGTTCTTCTTTAATATTTAATCAATCTCTTTAGAAAAGAATCAAGCCTATTTCTGTTGTTAGTGGGAACCACAAAGGAAAGGACTATGAGGCATGGGCTAGGATTTTCAAAGAGCAGCTGCCTCCTTAGAGGTCAGAATGGTGGGGGTAAGAGATGTCATGTAGGATTGCTTTCTTCTTGGAGAAGATGAAACCAAGGAAGCAAAAGTCAGTATCTACCCTAGTCAATACCTACCTCACCTAGACATCTACCAGCAAACCTCTAAAGATCACAGTTTTATTTTAAACAAAATGATCTCCTTAAAGATACAGAGTTTCGAGCCTACTATGCACATTACCCCAAGCCAAGCTCTCTATTTCAAGTTGTCTCTTGCTTTTGCTTCTACTGCCAAGGTTCAATGTGTTTCTTCAACTCTGATCCTTTCATCTCTGGTCTCCTTTCATCTGAGGGGTAGGGGTGTGTGTGTGTGTGTGTGTGTGTGTGTGTGTGTGTGTGTGTGTGTGTGTATACATATGTGGTGATATTGTGTGTGTCTGTGTATGCATATGTGGTGATATTGTGTTCCCCAAAATATTGTGCACCCTAATAAATTTATCTGGGGTCAGAGAACAGAACATCCACTAGATATAGAGGCCAGAAAATGGTGGCACACACACCTTTAATCCTAGCATTCCTAAAGCAGAGATCCATCTGGATCTCTGTGAGTTCAAGGCCACACTGGAAACAGCCAGGCATGGTGACTCATGCCTTTAATCCCAGGAAGTGAGCCTTTAATCCCAGGAAGTAATGGCAGAAAGCAAAAAGGTATATAAGGCGTGAAACCAGGAACTAGAGCTGGTTAGGCTTTCAGGCTTCTGAGAAGCAGTTCAGCTGAGATCCATTTGGATGAGAACTCAGAGGCTTCCAGTCTGACGAAACAGGATCAGCTGAGGAATTGGCGAGGTGAGGTTAACTGTGGCTTGTTCTGTCTCTCTGATCTTCCAGCGTTCACCCCAATACCTGGCCCTGGGTTTGTTTTTATTAACAAGAACTTTTAAGATTCCTGCCACATGAATTGAGTTTGTGTTCTGTGTGAGGTACTTAAAGGTTTTACTTCTCTAAAAATGGGTTCTTTTCAATCAGGTCCCTATCTTAAACTAAATAGCACTCGCAAATCTTCCATTTATTTACCTAGCCTAGCACTAAATAACCTCTATAACAATGGTTGTAAACCTGGGGTTGCGACCACTTTTGCAAACCTCTAGTTCCAAAAATATTTACATTATAATTCATAACAGTAGCAAAATTACAGTTATGAAGTAGCAATAAAAATAATTTTATGGTTGGGGGTCATCACAACATGAAGAACTGCAGTAAAGGGTCACAGCATTAGGAAGGTTAAAAACCACTGCTCTATAACCAGATCCTGTTTTCCTGAAAAGTAATATATCAACCATTAGTGTTAGTGCACACCTTTAATACTAGCACTTAGGAGGCAGAGTCAGGTAGATATCAGGTGAGTTTGAGGCCACTGTGGTCTACATAGCCAGAGATACATGTGAGACTCTATCTCTCTATAATATAACCCTTTCAAAAAGGCCTCTAGTTGCCCCTTAAATATGCTTTGAACAGTTGTAAGTATATGCCTCAGATAATTTGATCTGTATTGTCTACTCTACAAAAATCTCACTCATTCCTCAATATAAGTAGTGGCACCTGCCCTCATTATCTAATTAAGGTGTATTTTTTCTTTGAACCCATAGTCTGAAGTTTCGGCCCTATTACATACAGATATGCATACTTTATAGTACTAATTCTCATAAAGTAATTAATGTTTCTTCTATATATTTATGGAGTCTGCACAGGGTAAAAGATTATTCCCATTGAAAGATCTAATGGCCTACACAGATTTAGGGTATGATCTTCTAACGAATATATTCAGGAGACAACATTTACCTTAGTTTCCCTTAGTTTAGATTAGTGGCTAAAAACTCTAGTAACTCTATATGCCATATTAATCAATTTTAAGAATTGTTAAAAATATTTTATTTACTATTTTTTAGATTTTAGATTTTTTTATATGTATGGGTGATTTGCCTGTATGTATGTGCACCACGTGCATGTCTGGAGCCCAAGGAGACCAGAATAGGGCATTAGATCCCCTTATAGCTGTCATTTCAGATGGTTGCAAGCCATGATATGGGTGCTCAGAACAGAACTTGGGTCCTCTGTAAGAACAGCAAGTGCTCTTAACTGCTGAGACATCTCTCCAATGCCCAATGTTAAGATCTCTTACAAAATTTATCTATTTACACATAATTAATGGTCTTTCAATTATGTTACATTTTTACTTCAGTTTTTATTCACTTTAGATTTGTCCTTTAAATTAGTATTATTTCATTGCTTTTAGTGGGATTAGTACAATTTAGAAATGACAATTTGATGGAAATATCATGTTCCAGATAGTACTAAGGTAAACTATTTTATATATATATATATATATATATATATATATAATGTATATATATCCAGATCAACCTTTGTCAATATCTGGGAAGTATTATTATTTTAATTCACCAAATACCAAACATAAATTAATAATACTCAGCAGTTTGAATACAAATTAAATAATTAGTTCATAACAATATATTAGGCAAATTTTTAGGCTCTTTTATAGTCCTAGTAGTTAAGATGTCCTCAATTTGGTAAAATAATTATAATTATGTAGCTTACCTCATATTTTCTCT